GTTTTACTGTTTAAAAACATCACATTCTGCTCATGTACATTGTTGGTTTTGCAGTCTCTTGAAAGTGTACATATTCGATATGAGATACTGCAACTCTATGAAAGGGGATACAAGATCATGTAAGATTATACACTAAAGACAAATATGTATTGATTTATGTGTTTTAATTTATTACATGGTTCTATGCAATACTCGATTCTGGTCTATAGCACCATCTACTGGTCAAATATTTCCAAATATTTGCCATCATGCAAGGCAATGCTGTATATTTTTCTGCTCATCTCAGTAAATGAAACTGGCTCTACTGTCATGTCTCTTGTATCACTCTGTAGATTCACACTCTCATTTCATACAAATGCAAATGGTGCCGTCTTGTATCGTGGTTAAATTGTGGAGAAAATTACTTAAGTATTAATGTTACTGTAATATTGGTGCAGCATTCATCTCGTTATCGATTGTTTTCTACATTGTAATAGATTTTCACTCAGAAATTGCTAGTAAATTTCACAATTGCAAAGTTATGACAAATAACACATTGAATTAAACATGACATTTTGAAGTCCTGGGTTTATTTTACGATAATGTTGGTTCCAATTGCCATTGTACAATTTTTGACAATACTTCTATTTATTTTAATTAATGACACAAGAACAGGAAGTATTACATAGTCACATTATTAACAACATTAGCTGCTAGGAAAAAAAACATACATTCCAATGGTTTTCGTGTATGTATTTTTAAATGCAAATGAGCTGCTGCTCCCCACCCCCTTTTCCAGAATAGGGCTGTGCTAGCCTATTACAGCTAGTACCCCAGATACTCTGCCAAAAAACATCTGTTTGGTTTTGATTATCATGTCTATCGCGCTGAAATCATGTTTTTTAAAGCCATATCAGTTTAAACTTTTGATATAGGGTTTTCTGAGCGCACACATCCGAAGCACGTGCACAGAAAGCATCTGTCACACGGCATGTGAGTACTAAATTCTCTTTCATGTCTTATTGCAGTTAAACTGTCAAATACACACAAGTTTATGTTAAAAATGCACATAAGTTACAAAAACTGTCGGTTATGTCTGTGAAGGTAAACAGCTGGGAAAGAAATCGCATGTTTATATTAGATCTGTGTATTAAGTGACAGCAGCGCCGTCGGTGGAAACGTGCAAATTAAGGGGCAGTGATATTATAATAAGATCCCCTTCCTACATCACTAGGGGAGCGAAATCTGAGCAGCACGTTTGTTCACATGCTTGCAGAGAAAAACTTACCAAAAGTTACTGGGTTGCCCTTTTCATGTTTTCTGGGTTAGTAGATGCACCGGGGACCCGATTATAGCACTTAAACATGGAAAAAGTCAGATTTTCATATGTCCCCTTTAATACTTTTTTTACATTTTAAAATGTCATTCTGAAAATAAAAAAGGACATGGCAATGCTTCTAAATGTTCCTTAAAGAATACATTAAACAAATGTAAACAAAAGTCTTTGTGATATCAACAAGGTAGTACCCTTTCTCTGAGTTAAATTAGGGTTAGGTGACTTGAAGGATCTCTTGGTGCTTCTTGTGCTTCCCTATACGCATAAGCCCTGGCCCAGTGCCAGAAATCTCCCTGTGTTGAGATCACTGCCCATGTAATCACGTTTATGCAGATCCACTGATGAGGACAGTTAACTAATCCTCCTGCCGTTCTCCTTCAGTACTTATCGCTTCTATCTCTCTTGCGTTGAGAACAAATACAGCCCCACTGCATATGTCAGCAGAGGCATTAAACTGAGGCCTGTATGACATACCTTGATATAAATGTTTTTCCCAGAACCTCAGTGAAACTGATTAATGAGCTGACCGCAGCGACACATCAGGTTGGGAATTCGTGTCCTTCAAACTTAAAGTCACCATAAAGTCAGAACATTGCTCTGATTTTAGTGCCATTCCATCAGCTGTTATAGGTCTGACACATCTGATGATTGCAGGGTGACTGTGATGCTTTTAGAAAATTTAAAAGTAGTAAACGAGCAGCTCTTTTTAATGGTAGCATGTATACATTGGAAGAAGTTGAGTATTTTTAACAGGTAAAAATGATATAGTTCATATTTGTTAATTGTAATAATTGTTATTGTAATTTAAGTTACTTTTATATTTATGGGTGGCAAATAATAGAATTTAAAAGACTATAAAATGCTGTAAAGTGTCATACAAATATTATTCAGAAGAAGGAATTACCAAAAAAATACACTTTTACAGTAAAACATTATTAAAACATTAAATATTGTTCAAATGAAAGTGTGAGTAACTAATCATTTATAGGGAAAAGTGCATTCCCAGATTTTCCTGTATGAACCATCAAATTTGTTTGGATTTTATTCATTTAGAAAGTTAGTTTATTCTTATTTTTGTTATTATCAATGTGCACTGAATGTTTTATACTCTATTTTATGTTTCTAGTCCATATTTGTCTTGATTTTAGCGTTACGTTTTGTTGTGGTTATTTTAACTGTAGTAAAAATGTTTACAGTGAACTTGCATACAGTCCCCTGGTGGACAGATTTTCAGCATGTTCGGTATGTTAGCTGGAAATTTGTTATAATGCAGCAATGTCAGAAAGATGATTATTTGAAGGGTTTTCTGACAGGAAAAAAAAAAATCACACAAAATGAATTGGATCTCCGTTGGAAGAGTTACCTCACTGACCTCTCCCCAGGGATTAAAATTAGCTTCTTTCTTTTTTTTACTCTTATCTCCATGGGTACGTCAACCTCTGACTGGATTTTAGGTCTCTTGGTCACAGTCAGACGCTACTCAACCCTACCTGGCGGGGACAATCCCTGCGTCATGCGATGGCAATTACAGGCTCCCTGACAGCTATTCAGAGTCCTTTCCTTATACTTCTACTGCATTACACAATGTCAAACATTGTGCCTTCCTGTTGACCCCGACATTTGTTTAGCCTGGCTCACCAGTTGTTTAACGTGCTCTAGCAACACTCAATACTTGAGTAATCAATAACAACAAAGCACTCTGTTTTACTATACAGATGACATTGTAGCAAGCAAAGTTACGCTGTTTAGATGCTGGTTAGGGAATTTTCAATTTTGCCATTTTATAGGCTTTTCTTGCATAGTTGACAAATCCATTGTTGGTTAACCATTCACTGCATCGTTCAAGCCCTCAGCAAGACTTTTGAATTAACCTTCTCTATAAACTCATACTGAAAAAAGCATTCATTGTAATGTAATGTTATTGTTGCAATCAGAACACCGTGACATTTTTCACTCTTGTTTGAGAACTGTATGGACCTTGCGAAAGGTGTTCGCATTGTCGTCTGTGTGGGAGGACATTTCAGGATAATTGTAATAGGATCGAGTATCTATCTATAGTAAGGATATAGAAAGGTTAGGAGCAGTTACTCAGTCTTTCCCCTCCCCCCACAAGGGAAGAATCAACCTGTAATCTCTTTAGTTTTCCTTAAACATTGTACTATTAAGCATTCTAGTAAAGGACAGCGGGCTGGCACATTGCGTCACAGTGTTTATTCTGTGAAATTAGTGAAATCATCCATCCCTTAGTGCATCATATATTTTCAGGAACTGTGATACATTTGGATTGGTCTTAAAATGTGAACAATTTGGATTGGTCTTAATATAACTTCATATTTGTCTGTGGTGTAATTAATTCTGGTGTAATATCATGAAGTTGATCAAATGTACTGAATATGTAAAAGTGTGTTATGACATTGCTTTCATAAGGGTACTTATTTACGCCACCCACAATGACAGGACACTGTCAAGGTCAGCCGTTTTATTCTCCACCCAGGGTCATTATTAATCCCTTCTTAATGCAGTTCCAGTGAACGAGTTAGTTTCTCGATCTATTGCTCACTGTCTTTTGTAGTACATCACAGGTTGAGATTAGAATTTATAAGGGAGTAATGGCAGTACAATAATCTAAATGAGTTCCCTAAAACTCAAACTTGAAATAATTTGACTATAAACTTTAACATACAATGTGCACCTTCTCACAAACATCTTATTAAAGCATGAAAGTAAAAAAGTAAGAAAAGTAAGTAGATGGGTGGTGTAACTGGAAGCTGAAAGACCATTTCATATAATTTAAGGATTTTTGAAGAGGCCTAAAATTGATACAGCAATTTTAAGGCATGCTAAGGCTCAATTTATAAACATTTCATGATCAATGTCAATTTTTCAGTTTAAATTTTGGAACTCTGATTAATACATTTCTTGACATTGATAAACGGCAGTAAGATAACGTTATCCTAAAATTTCAGCAGAAATAGGGTCAGACTTAACGCCTACCTGGATAGCATTCACAGATTGACATTGTCATATGTACATTTTAAAAGTTTTGCATTGTTAATGCTTGTTTTTTGTGAGAATGTGATGTTTCTTCTACCTGTAATGCAGCAAACAGGCAAATTGATTTGATGAAATGTAATAGCCAGACAAGTAACTCAGTCTGATCAGGGTTATTTGATTACCTTGCAAGATGATTCAGATAAACTCACGGGACAACCTCCATATTCTAACAAAGTAGCTGATCAATAAGTGCTTGTCAAAGCCGATTGTGAATTGATGTGCAGTAGGAGAATGAGAGAACAGACGATGCAGATCACATTATCCTAATAAGGATGAGGGCACAGTCTCTTTCAGTCTCTCATTTTGTTTGCTCTTAATCCCATTGGCCTTTGCATTGTTATTATATATTCCAAAAAATGTCACTGTTTCTTTGAACTTTTGAATACCTGTAACACTTCAGATGTAAGAGAGTACGAGTTTTACCATTACAGAACGACCTTTAGGTGATCGTAGTGAATTTTGATTTTGAATACAGTGACTTAAACTTAAGTAGCACTGTACATTTTGATATGTGGATTTATGTATATTCTGAATACAGTGGTCACAATTATTTGGGCACTTTGGAGTTTGTATATGGAGTAAATTATGTTACGTCACTAAATGCTCTCCTCTTTTTGTTTTTTTGTTGCAGATTCTGGCCATAATATCAATTCTGTTCATCATCCTTTCAACCATTGCACTGTCACTGAACACCTTGCCGGAGTTACAAGTGACCGATGAATTCGGACAATCCAACGACAACCCAAACCTGGCCCACGTTGAAGCCGTTTGCATCGCCTGGTTCACTATGGAGTACCTTCTCCGATTTTTGTCTTCTCCCAACAAGTGGAAGTTCTTCAAAGGGCCACTGAATGTGATTGATCTGCTGGCTATCCTTCCTTATTACGTCACAATATTCCTCACAGAATCCAACAAGAGTGTCCTCCAGTTCCAGAATGTGCGCAGGGTAGTTCAAATCTTCCGGATCATGAGAATCCTGAGAATCCTGAAACTCGCGAGACACTCGACTGGTCTTCAGTCTCTTGGGTTCACTCTGAGAAGAAGCTATAATGAACTCGGACTTCTGATATTGTTTTTAGCCATGGGCATCATGATCTTCTCCAGTTTGGTGTTCTTTGCTGAGAAAGATGAAGATGCTACGAAATTCACCAGTATTCCCGCTTCATTCTGGTGGGCAACAATTACCATGACAACTGTAGGTTATGGGGATATCTATCCCCAAACCCTTCTGGGCAAAATAGTGGGTGGTCTCTGTTGTATCGCTGGCGTGTTAGTGATTGCTCTGCCCATTCCCATTATTGTGAACAACTTCTCTGAGTTCTACAAAGAGCAGAAGCGACAAGAAAAGGCTATCAAACGAAGAGAAGCGCTTGAGAGGGCCAAGAGGAACGGAAGAA